AATAAATTTATTTAATTTATAACTTTTTATTTTTAAATATTATAATTAATCATTTAAAAAATATAAATTTATAAATTTTTATTTTTAAGTATTATAATTAATTATTTAAAGAACATAAATAAATAGAATATTAAGTCAAATTAAATAATTTTAATTTAATTTTAATAAAATAGTAAGTGACTTAAACACAAGAAAAAAGATCATTGGATCTAGTAATAGAGCGTTTTCTACACGTGTCAAACGTTTGACTGAGGTTTCCTTTCTTTTCTCCCACGATCTAGAGAGCCGTCTTTTATGATCATTTCTCGTTGTTTTTCACGAATTTGGTTTTTGCTTTAGTTACATTCATACGTAATGCATTTCGTGAACACTATCAGTTCTGAATCAACACATCGATTCTTGTACGGAATTATTTGGGCTGTAGATTACAATATACAACAGAGTTTGATACAGGGGAGATGGTTATTTGAACAAACAAGTTAGATTTGGTGATTCTATGGCTTAATAAGCAACAGAATCTCCCTAATCTAGTATAATTTTTTTCTAGGTGTTCTTAATTTCTTGGATTTGTTCATGTTGCTGCTGCAAAACCTTCTTGTGAGTCACCAAATACTGCGTTCAAGATCATGGCTAATCTTACTCCTCCTTGAGCAATTCGTTTCATGACAATCGGCATCCTCGAATTGTAGTATTCATCTGCAAACACAAACACAATTATGTGTTGTTTTGTTACAACAGAAGCTAACTAATTGTCTGTAAGAAACAAGAATTATTCTTGTTCTTATACCTGCGAGAGTATCGCCGGGATTTACTCCTTTGTAACCCCATTTGCAAGCAATTTTAATACTCTCTGAAGCATACCTAATTAGGTGTACGCCAGGAGAAAAGTCATTAAATGTATTCAAAACGTCAATCTTTACACGAAAATATGTAATTTTGTTGAGAAAAAGGTCAAGAAACTGACTGGTTTAAGCAAGGAAGAAGATCATCACATTTTTCCCATGAAGATACATCATCAGCCCAGATCCCCTGTTTCAAGAACAAAAAAACCCAGGTAAATTCAGAAAACATCTTAGTAATTTACAATTAATCTGACAATTTAGACAGTTGAAACAAGTTGTTCTTACATGTGTGATGTTTCCGGAAATGGCTTCCAACAGGCTGTCCAAATCCTTATCATAGTAATCTTTCAGGGCTTGAAGAAGAATGTCCCTATCCCATACCTGTTTCATTAAGAAACTCGAAATCAGGGAAAGCAGAAAGATTACAGTTTTGATTATGAAAAACATTTAATCATAGGAAAATCTTACATGATGCAGGTTGGATTTGCGTCTGAACCAACGCAAATCAATGGTGTTTCCTCCTAAATCACTTGTAAACCCAATATGCATTGGCTGAAACAATCCAAATAAATAAATAAATCTAAACCTCAGAATCAGAGTGATAATAAATAATAAACCTTGAATATCCAATTATTACAACATAGAACATACCTGATGGACGTCTCCCATGAAATGTGACAGGAACAACAGAGCCTCTGTCATGTTATCTGCACGAAAATGAAACAGGATGATGTTTCATTAATCTCAAAAAAAAAAAAAATCCTACAAAATTTACTGTGAGAAGAATTCCTTACGGCGGCGATCGGAGGTTCCTTCTTGGTAGTGGAGAAGCTGTGTGGTGAAATTCTGGATGGCTCCGACCACACACATGCCCTCGATGCCGTTGGCTTGGCAGTCCCCTGTTACACGTAACATGTTACTGCATTATTTCCTCGTTCTGGTGATTTTGTAACAGTTTTGACTTTCGAGTCTTCACTTGTACTTACTTTCGTAGTCATAGTCGCAGGCACCGTCGGGTGTGTCTATGAAATGGAGGGGACTTGTCCAGCGGTATTTGTACCAATGCCGGATTTGGTCCGGCCATGTACAGAGTGCGGATAAATCTCCTTCAACGTGCTGGGGTAACAAATTTGCAACAGCTTCTGCAGCCTCCTCCTCTAATAGACTCTGTTATGGAAAAAAAATTGCTCTAGTCAATAGTGATTTGACATGCTTTGAAACATATTATTCATAATAAAGTTGACTTTTCTGGCTACCTTAGAGGAACCATGCTAGAATTCGAATCATTTTGATTTAAAGCTAGATCACATATATTTTCTCTTGTTGATGCAGAGGAGAAAACAGGGGTTATGGCCTGTTATATGTAAAGAGTGGGAAATTCATTCATACAATGAGATACCACATCAGTAGTATCTTTAACTGTGTCACCGACTTAAAATTAAATAATTAGTAAATAACAACAAATTAATTTCCTTTAATTGCAAGTAGAGGCTACACATATTGATATATTGTAATATTAGCAGGCATAAATATCGTTATGAGATATCTGTTGTATGGAAGAATTTTTCAATGGGAATGTTTGCAATTGCTGAAAATTTAGGGTGGGAGACACTGGTAATTAGTCAGTTCTCCATGGAGGGAGGGAATAAGGAGCTAGAAGAGATGAAAATGGAGCAGCTAGCATTACCTGTGCAATCTGGCAAGTTAAAATGTGACCCTCTTTGCTCCAGGCATGAGTTGTGGGGATCAAAATCAAAGCCAGACCCACCAAAAAACCAAAACCAAAAGAGAATCTCTGAGACCTACACATTCTTGAATCGTTCTCTATCTGCTCAATTCACCTATATATTCTGCTGTGTTTATCAAATATGATAATACAATGCTTAATGAAACAAAGTTATCTTCTCGGAATGGATTCGAAGTATATATATAACTATAAAAAAGGTTGGTATTGAGTGCAAGTTTGATGTTCCAAGTATTTTTAAGTACTTATAATAAGTGTTGACCTAAAACACAAGCAACTAAGATATAGGCATATTCTGGTATATAGGAGCATCAGTGATATAATTTGAACAAAGTCAGAAGGTTAATACGGAACGATTTTTTTCTTTCTTGTCTTGAAAGAGTTCTTAATGGATAAAGTACACGTGACTAGCTATTTATGAGATCACCTGGGTTGGGAAGTTAAAGCCTGCAATACATGATGCCGGAATGGTCCCCACACTTTGCCTTGGTGTAATAATGTACAAATTCCTTTCTGTTGCTCTAACTCTTCATGTCATGATGAGCAGCTTTTGGTTGGGAGTGGGAGGTGATAATCCGGTTGGGACTTGAGAGTACTGGCAGCTAATTAGCGAATCCCACCTTGTGCCGGCCTCTTCTCCACAACATAGCCAGTCGATCGAGAAAGGGAATAATCATCTCTCTGTAAAGACAAAAAAGTGAGTTACAAGGATATAAGAAATTTGATGGATGATTGTTAGAGCCTTAGAGGACATGATGTTGTATTGCATTGCATGATATTATCTGTGCAGCGACCACAGTGGTTTACCATGCATGGTTGATTAATTAAGTTGGCCATGTACACGGTTAGGAAATCATATAGGATCAAGGGGAAACTATAAGGAATGGTGTTCACCTATCACAGCCATTATCTCTAACCACCTAGCAGGAACAGTTTCAATGAATAGTTTCTGTCAACAAAATAGATCCTCCAATTGGATGCAATGCAGGAAATTTCAGTTAGAGACAAAGTTCTAAGTTGTAGCTTTTTAAGAAAACATGTGGGATCAACATAACATAACATGGGGTTTCTAGGTGGAGTAACTTATATTTATTTAAGTCACATTTTTTTTCTTATTTTTTAATGTAAGATTTTTTTTAACTCAGTTGTTCACATGTAAACTTATTGGACTTAGAGGTGGTAATTTCCCGTCATTCTTATAAAGATCCTAGGGATAGAGCGGCGATGTGAGGTATTTTTGGTGAAAATTTCATGGGCGGTGGAGGTTTCCCTTCCCATGAAATATTAAAAAAATTATTAAATTTAATACAATTTAAATATTTAACTTGTTATTATAAATCATACCTCTTTCTTTTTATTGAAAATTTTAACTTAATATTAAAGTCTAATTACTTTAAATTAAATCAAACACAATGTATTTTTTTACCTTAACAACTTGACCAAGCTCTTTAGAATATTTTATTTTAAAATATAAAAATAATTAAATTAAG